GGACTTTCTTTCGCGCGTAGCGAGACTTTGTCCTACCCGGACCGACCTAATCTCTTGGCGCTACCAGTCAATACCCTACAAGCTATGCCTCTCGAGTATTGACGGCAGGCATAATCCAGCCCTATGCAGGGACTTACCGGAAAAGTGTACACGTGTCTTGGACTAGGAAAGTTCTGCTCTGTTATCTTCTGGGAGCCCTTTCGGCTCCCCCTTCATTGGTTGGTACAGCCTTGTGTTGTAACTAGGTTTCAGCCACATGTGTTCTAATTAGGTAGGTGGTCAAATTGAGGTTTAAGCTAGATGTCGAGCGAATCCCGTATTTTATTTAGAGCACATATGCCTTATATGTGGGGTAAGACGGTAGTACATGTATTAGTACTGTTGATGCTACATGCCCAGATTTGCTTGCGCATGTATAATACATTGTATTAGTACTGTTGATGCTACATGATCTTACTCCCAGATTTGCTTGCGCTTGCCCGTCCTGGTTAATGAAGGCTGTCGGAGCTCTCCGTTGCTGTAGCTCCGCGACATCTTGTCCTTTAAACCTATATCGAAACGGGGCTCCAGCTTCCACTTAGGACTATTCGCTGTCGCAGCTTCAGCTCTTTCGCTATCTTGAAGCGGCATAATTTCTTTGTAACACGCCACGTCACCAATCAGACACTCCTCGGAAATCCTTGCTCCGCATGACTCGCGCGAATCCCAAAGTAATCGTGCAAACACCTCGAGAAAGTCTACTTCAAAGTCGAAAGAAACGACGTAGTGACTCTGCGTGTCGAAGGTGAAGTCGATCCTCCCAACACCATTGCACACACGCCCCAGCAGCTTCGCCGCGATGCGTGGGTATTGACGGAGTACGTTAGGGAACATGACTTCCAAGGTGGCTCGCGTTACCACGTGTCTATAACTGGCGTAGGACGTCACAATCGTCCGTCCTTCCGCTGACACAACTTGAGATCGCAAGTAGTGAAATTCGAGCTCCGATAAAGCTTTCGTGTACTGCTCCCATTGATGCAGCATCACTCTACGTCCGTTGAATCCACCGATACGCAGGTTCTCGTCCATGACTTGGATAACGAATTGGTTAGGGTCAAGCAAGGCGCCCGATTGATAACCGTTCTCAAACACGCGGTGGTACTCTTGCACTGTCTTGACGTAGTAGCCATCCAGTGCATCCCGACGATTGAAAGTCCGTGCACTAAGTATTTGCTGGTATTCAGTCAGTCGTTGGATTTCCTGTCGAAGATCCATGACGTCCAGCTCCAAGTTATAGAGCTGCGAGGCTTGAGAATCTCGCGTCCGCCACTTGAGCTTTTTGCGTTGATCGGGAGCTCTTCTCGCTGCGGCGAGTGCTGTGACGGCAGGAACGCGCGGAGCTAGCACAGGTCGATACCGTACTGGTGTTACGCCAAAGGTTTCGGAAACCGAAATGATCGTGTTCATTGTTGTCGGGCGAGATATTGTGAATGTCTGGCGAATTCACAACTGACTGAGTCATGTGAATATTTGTCGGCGGTCGGTCGAGTTGCTATTCGATTGTTGGCTTCGGGCGTTTTTTGTTTCGCTCATTCACCACTACAGTTTAAAGGTTCGGTGATTATTTTTATGGGGTGTCCAGAAACCCCACTACTAACAACGCCGCTCTCTGCAGTTGTGCTGGGTCGAAGATCGAAAAGGTACTTGTACAAAAGTTGAACTACCAAAATACAAATACTTAGGCGCAATCTTCTGGACTCTCCTTTTCTATCCGGTCGTAAACTTTTCATTTGGAAGCTTATTAAACTTGCCTGTCGTTAATAAAAGAAAAGTATTTTGTTGTTGTTGTCAATGAGATCAGTTGTTCGTTTTTTATTGGAGCATAGGTATCATTTACCGGTAGCTAACTACCATGAATAAACCACAAAAGACCGAGCAGAATACTCTATTTCTATTTCATTTCAAATTGAAAGAGCATGATAAATATATAAAGCTTGTTGCAGTTTTTTTATCTGTTTGAAGAAAACAACCAAAATAAAAACGCTGGGACCAGTAGGAATGCCTCATTCTTGTCACTTCAACATGGCACAGCGCGAGTTCATCTCTACCGGTATCACTGGCATTCTCGTCAAATATGTTACTTTTATGGATATACATTTTGTTAGTGCTGTATGTGAGCTTGGCCACATTCGTCTCAACGTGAAGATCAGTATTCGCCGCACATTCACGTTGGTTGCTCACAAGCAGCAAACAAGTCATTCATCTATTATTACAGGGACGTCGCAAAACTGAAATTTACGTTGGATGCGACGTTCTTGTCCCATGTCTCACTCCAGTTACGGACCAACGTGGACTCTAAGTACAACAGGTGTGTAATGAAAAAATCACCTCAACTTGGACGGAATCGTTGGAATTCGTCTCTGATCTCTGCAAGGGAAAACGCGCGTGACCCACAAAAAAGACTTCCACTACATGACACGCTTCTCCTACTCCCAAATCTCCTTGCGTCTGCCCGTCCTATTAGTCAACGAAGGCTGTCGCCACTCTTCGTCGCTATGCCCTGAAGGCGTCTTATCCTCTAAATCTGTATCGAAACTGGCCTCTGTCTTTTTCTCAACTTTAGCTGTCGCAATTGTACCAGCGTTTGGACTCGACGTGACCTCCCCGTAGCCGGTAACGTCCCCAATCAGACATTCCTCGGTGATCCTTGCTCCTTTGAAAATGGCACAAAGATCGCGCGGGTCCTGAAGCAAACGAGAAAACTCTTCGAGGAAGTCTAGTTCAAATTCAAACGAGATAATGTTGTGCGTCTGCGTGTCAAAGACGAAGTCAAACTTGCCGACGCCTTTGAACACACGCCCCAACATCTTCGTCACAATGCGTGGATATTGTCGTAGTGCTTCAGGAAACATGACCTCCACCGTGTCTCGTGTTACGATGTGTTTGTAGCTGGCATAGGACGTGACGACCGTGTGCCCTTCCATCGAGAGGACTTGAGAGCGCAGGTAGTGAAATTCGAGGCCGGAGAGCGCCTTTGTGTATTGTTCCCACTGATGCAGCATCACGCCACGTCCGCTGAACCCACCAATACTCAGGTTCTCGTCCATAGTTTGCATAACGTACTGGGTCGCATCAAGCGGGGAGCCTGGACGATAGCCGTTCTCAAATACACGGTGGTACTCTTGCACTGTCTTGACGTAGTAGCCATCCAACGCATCACGACGATTGAAAGTGCGGGCGTCGAGAATTTGTTGATACTCTGCCAAGCGTTGAATTTCCTGTAGAAGATGCATGACGTCCAGCTCCAAGTTGTAGAGCTGCGAAGCCTGGGAATCGCGCGTCCGCCATTTGAGCTTCTTGCGTCGATTGGGGGCTCTTCTCTCTGCGGCGAGTGCTGTGACGGCTGGTACTCGCGGTGCGAGAACAGGTCGAGATCGTACTGGAGTCACGTCGAAGGTATCGGCTATGGCATTGAACGGATGCATCGCTGCTTGGCGAGATGTCGTGTACCTTTGGCGAATTCTCGACTGATTGTTTTTATGAGACCTGGACGACACAGTCTCAGAAACCAGAAGTCTTTTTAGTATTGGTAGTCATTCGCCCGTTAGATAATTGGTTGACATTTTTATTTCTAACGGAGTCCACCAAGGGTGGAGCTCCAGCAATTCCCAATCTGCCAAGTGTGGGGCGAGTAGTGTGTTAACGCTTACTTCTTCCGTCGTGCTCACTGCCCAGACATCGTCACGACCTCTGCAAGTGAACGAGTAGTAGACGTTCGCTGTTAGGGTTATGAGCCCAAGATTGGAGTAAACTTCCAGAACTAACGTGAACGCTGACGATGTCGTGGACGCTGCCTTCGATGTCAGACTTACTTGGTACTCCGTCTCCGACCGCGTCGCGACGGATGATGGCTGTATCAACGCCTGCAGTGTCAGAAGCGGCTGGACTGGTAGGTCCGTTGGCTGGGGGTACTGGCGGGATTCCTGTCCTTCAGTCTCCACTGCCGCAGTCTGTTTCTGCGTTGAGCTCACCAACTTCAACGCTCATTTTGACTGGAACTCCGGTGGTGAATGCTCCAGCGAGGTTGCACGCTAATGGAGAACAACAGCAAAGGATACCATTGCCACCGCCTAACCTGGCGATGGATGTGAACAAAAACCCACCAAAAATGGCAGGAAGCTTTAACCTCTATCGTGCTCAAGTTATGGCCTATTTACACCGATTTAATGCTTGGGGTCTGATCGATGGATCCGTACAGCGTCCGACTGTAACTGGGGAGCTTCAACACCGCTACGATATGCTGGACTTCTTTGTGAAAGATACGTTGCTTCGTGGTGCTAAAAATTAAGACGCTGAGCGTATGTGTGATCTTCCAACTGGCAAGGAAATGTGGGAAGATCTGGAAGCACACCATACTAAGCGTGAGTTTTCTAATTACGTGTGGGTATTGAAGCAATTCTTCCACGCAACTTACACTCGTGAGCAGACGATGGATTCTTGGCTTCAGGAGATTCACGATACACGACGTGTGTTAGCTAACCTGGGTCGAGTTATCGATGATGATCTCACTGTGGACGTGATTCTCATGGCTTGAGAGCTCCAACTAACCACCCTTCTCAACAAACTTGTCGGTGCTGCTGTTACTTGGCTTTAATTCTCTTATTTTATAATTTACACAGCCATGAGTGCTGAGCGACGTATCTATAGGTAAGTACTGTTGACAAGGACAATAAGCTGGTGTCCAAATTCTCGTACACGGTTGAAAATCCTCTGAAAACGCTGTGCTTGGTTCGCTCCGGATCATATTTCGCAGTGAAAGTAGATGGATACATAGTACATAAGTATAATACACGTGATTACATGTAATTCATGCAAACGATTCTTATAAAAAGATTTTTTTTTATAGAATTCATAATACTAACAAGCAAAACCTCCGTATACAACGCAGCCACAACAGAAAGAGAAGACCCGTTACCAATCACCACATCATGTGAACTGCACGCAGGAGGGTTTGAGCCCTAACCGATCGCGCAGGAGGGTCAAGCCTCAACGACCAAGCCAGATTCCAGGACCCATTCTTCAAAGTCAAATAATTTGTTCGCTGTACAACACATAGGCTTTCTAAACGAATATAACACACAAGCAGTGTTGTATTTATTTATAGCACATATGCCTTATATGCGGGGTAAGACGGTAGGCTTCCAGTGCTTGAAAAAGTAAATTGGTACAAATTAAAACAGATTTGGTATCTAGATATTCCTCTTCCACAATTATTATTCTTGTTCATTGCCGATATGCACCCGTTTCTTTCTTGCAAACCAAAGGCTCTGTGCTCAAAAGCTTAGCATTTTGGTATTAAAAGTATATTTAACGCAAAAGGCCTCTAAATTACTACCTGAGAGCTCAATTTACTATTTTCGGTAGTAGTTGCTATTCTACAGAATTGTGTCTTTAGTTCGACAGCTTGAAATACTACTACTACAGGATTTAATACTACAATAGTAGCATCACAGCTTTCGACAAATTCGCAGTTGTAGTAAATTGATTGACAGGTTTTAAAAATCTTAGGCCATGGCAACTGGGCTCTTGTCGGTAGCAGCCACAGGGGTCTTGACCGCGCCGTAGGACGGTGACGTAGCCGTGTGGTTACTGCGGCTGAAGAGTGTCTCGATGTCCTCAAGTAGAATGCCCTTGGTTTTTGGGCAGTAGAAGTAGATGAACAGGCCGCATAGTAGTGTGAGTCCAGCGAACATGAAGAATACACCGCTGAAGTTCAGGTACGGGAAGAGCTTGACGACTTCCGTCATGGCGGCACCGATCCAGTTGGCTGCAGTAGCCACACGCACGTACGTTGAGTGGGAAAATCTCCGAGCAGTAGATCCAAGGTAGAGCGCCCCACGACACGGCATAGCTGAAGACGAAGAAAGCTGTACCTAAGCAAATAAACCATCCGCCGACCGAAGGGCAGCCCGAGTCGTCGACGTTGCCGTCGCAGATCGCCGTGAACAGAATAGCAGCGAACAGGTGGCCGATCACCATGCCTACAGCGCCGATCATGGCCATATAGCGGCGTCCGTACTTATCCAACCAAATCAAACCAGGTGTGGTACTCAAGCAGTTGACGCCGCTTAGAAGGAGCGAAGCGTAGAGACCGGCACCTGTGATGTCCTTGAAAATAAGCGACCCGTACGTCATAATGGGGTTGATACCAGTCGCCTGTTGGCCGAGCTGTAGCGCCATGGCGATGAACACACGTCGTCGCACCGTGGTTTCCCACAGTCCAGCCATGTCTTTGTTCCCAGTCTCTTCTTGGTTAATTTTGGTCACCGATCGCTTCGAGCTCATGGCGCACGTCGTCCGTTTGTCGTAGCCGCTTAAGAATCCGCCTCAGCCTCTTCCCTGCCCTTCTGCTGATACGTCCAACGAGGACTCTCGGGCACGCAGAAGATGCCGCACATGACGATCACCGGAGGGATCATCGATACGGCGTTACTAATACGCCAGCCGTTGCTGTCGTCCATGACGAGGATGTTGATAAGGTTAGCGAGCCACTGACCGAATGTGACGGGCAGCACCATCAAACCGGACAGACGCGCGCGCAGCTCCTTCGGGGCCATCTCAGATCCGAACAGTGGGAGTGAGAACGATGAGTTGCCGACGCCGAAGCCCTGTACGATACGCGCAATGTACATGAGCGTGTGGTCCTGTGCGGGGTTTAGACAAACCCACGTCGTCCCGATGCAGAACAGGACGCCGGCGGAGAAAATCGTAGCTCGACGACCGTAACTGTCCGCGACGTAGCCGCCAATCAGAGCACCAACCAGACAACCAAGGTTGTAGACCATGTTGTACCACACGGTGAAGCTCGTCCACTGTCCCGGGATGTCCGAAGACGACCGGGTGCAGTCATCGTAGGTGAAGTTGTGCCACCCGACGCAGTAGTCGTTCAGGAACGAATCCATAATCAACACGCCGGACGTCACACCCTGGTCGTAGCCGAAGAAAAACCCACCGAGCGAAGCGAACGCGCACACGATGATGGCGTAGCGCGTACTGCCCGTCGTCGGGGTGTCCGCGTCGTGGAAGCTGTGGACGCTCACGCTGGGCGCCATGTGGGACCAGAGCTTGGTTACGTGGCACTGAGTCGTCAAGATGTCCGAGAGGAGATGCTCCTTGTCCGGAAGCAAATTCAGGAATGATCGTACGTGCGCAGGAATGAATCGAGGCGTCCACGCTCGGCGCGTTTCTCCATCGTCGGCTCGGGACCTTCAGAACCAGGCGCATAGTCTTGCCTCTGCTTCAGGATGGCCTGTCAAGCGTGACCGGGCCCGTCTCTGAGTGTCGTCTGCGAGACAAAAACTGCAATCCTGCATTTGAGACGGTGACAACTTCAGAAAGCGGACCTTGTTGTCTTGGAAGCTGTAGCGGAATGCATGCGGAGATCCCGACGTTGTGCACTATCCTGTTGAACAACATGTCGTACATGTGCCGGGCTTCTTTCATTCAGACTCTAGGAACGTCACTAAACAATTGTCATCGGCAGAAAAGGTTTAAGTTTACATGTAGTAAACATTCGCCGATGGGTTTGTTAAGGCACTTCACGATGCGGCTTAGTGGTAATCGACCCTTTTAAAGTTCACTGGTCGCGCAGCTCTCATCAGTCGCCTCCTATCAGTGGTCAAACTGTGGGCAGCAACGTTTTTTTAAATAACGAGGTTCATTTTTTTCGAAGTCGACGTGTAATCTGTCTGGATGTCGGCAACGCCCGCAAGACGCCGTAGATCTTAAAGTTAGATTACCGGAACTACTGCTGTCATGATTGTACCGAGTTCGTAGCATGCACGAACGCTCAGCGGGACGATCTCCGAGCAGTAGATGGTTCCAATGAGACGGAATAACAAAATCACCGTGTGTTCTTAAAACGGGGTAAGACACAGCCAGCAAGTGCCAACGCAGAAGGTGATAGCCGAGAATATCGTAGCACGACGGCCGAATCGATCAGCAACGTAGCCGCTGGTCAAGGCATTAACCAAACAACCGAGGTGGTTCACTGCACTGTAGGTAGTGAAGAATACCGGTCCGTCATCGAGTTTTTGTTTTCATACTTACCATAGATCTCGGATGGCGAGAAAAAAGTTGTAATTTGATCAGAAGCCATCCCGTCATCGTCTGCATGTTCGCACCACCTGGCGGTTTCTTCTTTGGTTACGACCGAGGCGCTCGTCGTAGGATGGCATAACCTCACGTATGAGGACTTTTCGCTGTAAGCCTACAAGGACAACAAGCTTCGCAAACGATGGTGAGTAAAAGGCGAAATCTCGTCGCGATCCTTGTGCACAATCAGACCGATAGACATACTACTACCAGGTAGCATTTTGTGAAAAAGAAATAGAAATGATTAACCCCTCGACTCCCAGGAATGAGGGCACCGGACGGCTTATTGTACGTCGTATCTTACGACTTAGTGCTAGAGCTGAATAACTGTATGGGGCAAAGAAAGCCCTAGGGGATGGGGTATAAGTTGTCAACAGGTCCTTCGTGCAATGACGTAACTTATACAACTTAGTTTGCATTATTCAGCTATGTATGTCGTAACTTACCACGAGCCAGCACTGACTAGAAAAGAAAGTCCGATCATTGGCCTGCATTTGCAAACACGAAACGTAGAAAACACATTGATCCAAGGTTCTGTGCATTACGAGCAAAGGACTCATCAAGTTCGCACTCGTCTTTGCTACGCTACTCAGCCTCATCATCGGCTTCGTCACCTCGCAGCTGGATCTCTCGGCGAGTCTTCTGCCGTTTTCCTGCTTTTTGTCTGGGTCGCCGCAGCACAATCCGTTTCCCCAAGTTCGACGGTATGCTCTGGCCGGCATCAAAATCGTCGTGCCAGATTTCGAAGCACGTCTTCGCCACCCCTTTGTATTCTCGCCGGATCTTGTTGCAGAGCCAACACTTGGCATCATCGATCGAACAGCGATCACAATAGAAGGTTGTCGCGTAAGATTTCTTCGTGCGGTCGATTCTCAACAACGCGCACACCTCGCAGGAGCGCTGGCGACGCTTCTGCACATTGGAGACCGTCACCCAGTCCTCACACTGCTCCAAGACATGTGTAAGCCGCGGGGTACGCTTACGTTTCTGCGCTGAAGGTGGTGGCGTTGCGACTACACCGGTGAAGTCTTCTGCCTTCAGTTGAAGGAGCTGGTTTTGGAGGACGCCGTACCACTCGCGACGCTTCATAGCGGGTATACCAGCTATCTATGCAGCCTCGGTGTGATAGATGTAGGCATTGACTAACGCGAGATCGACGAAGCCTAAGAATAGGCTTTTATAATATTTCTTGAGCTTAGTAGATGTTTGGAGCGAGTAGGCTTGGAGGCGGAGCTGATCATGCACATCAACTCCACCCATCCAACCTTGGTAGTCGTTTACGGCGGCTGGGCATGGCACCGTAATTTCCCCAACCTGCTTCACCTTCCGCTCAATCGTTGACGGCGCCATCGTTGCGCCTGTACACAGGTAGTGGACCGGCTTGCGGTCCCACCAGTGGAAAGCAATCATGGATGGTATTGCAACCGAACGTGAAAAGGTAAACGTGCCGCGTGGGATGTTCGCCGGGCGCGTTGCTCTCTTTACTTGGAGGTTCTTGTCCAGCCCGAGACGGTTGACCATGATAGTACCAATAACGTAAACGTACATCTTCAGCAGCTCGATTGCAAGGAGAATAGAAGAGTAGTATCTGTCTACAACAACCGCGCACCACCGTTGTCGCTTGTTTTCTGCAAGTACAATCTTCAGGTTCCTGACCACAGCAGCTGCACCTGTCTTGTGGTCAAATGAAGTGCTGCCGTCAGCCTCTGAAGTGCGCTTGCCTGCATACATTTCGAATCTGATAAGATACGATATAGACGTCGGTCAGAATGGTTGATGGCGTATCTTACGACATTCAGATGCTTACCTGTGACAATAGGCTGTCCTCGAGTCGCACGTCATAAACATCTTAGACCCGTATCGGTGTGGTTTATCAGGCATAAACATTCTCGTCGTGTTCCGCTTAGACGTGGCTGGTAATACCCCCTCATCAAAAGAAAAAACACCAGGCAGCGACCAGCCCTCCAGGAAACGCTGCTGAAGCTTGGCAATTACCGGTCGCAGTTTCCACAGCTTGTCCCTGTTCCGTTCGCTCTGGTTGTCGACGAAGTGGAGATCTCTCAGGATATCCTGGCAGCGGTTGCGGCTCATGAAGCGTCCGAAGCTGCCAGCAGGAACGGCGCCATCTTCGACCATCGACCAGTGCGCTGCAAAGCTCTTCTGCGGGCAGAGCATGCGCGCAACGAGCAAACCGAGGGCGTGTAGGATCTCGTGAGCCTGGTACGCTGGCTTAGTTCTCAGACGGCGCCGTATATTCTTCAGCGTTTCTTGGCGGCGGTCGGGGTGCTTGACTTGTCGAGCATGAATTGCTTCAGCTCGTCTGTCTACTTGCTGAAATGCGTAAATGTTCGTTTCTTGGTTGATATTCACCCACATGGACTTGAACATAAAATAGAAGAAGGTAAGAGGTGGCGAGTGTGTGACATTGCGCAGCTCTCTCGTGGGCAGAGCAAGCTCCGCACCAAGTCCTGGATACGCTTCCACATTTGACTCGAAAGAAGACGACACAGACGTCCACTTCATTGCTCGCAAGGCATCCTCGCGCTGGTGCAGACTGCGTCGATCAGGTGCTTCAGTGTCCAACTGAAGTGAAGCGATGAAAGCCTCATCCATCTCCACGGCGTCGCCATCGGAGATGCCATCATCGCTACAGTCGTCGTCTTCACGGTCTGGACCTTCATCGTCTTCTGCGTAGGCAACACCGTCGCTCTCATCCGAGCTGAAGCTTTCGTACGTGCTTGTGTTTTCATTCTCAGGTACGAAGTTGATATCCTTTTCTTCTTTGGGAGCTTGACGCTGGGGCTTCCGTCTTTGTTCATCGGCAATAGACTTGTCCTCTTCTTCGGCACCGCTCTCAGCTCCAGACGCGCCCGACAGCAATTGCAAACGAGCGGCAGCTTCTTCAAGTTGCGAGGCGTCCAGTAATAGGCCTTCAGGTGGCAAATCAAATGCCCGAGTGACTGCCGACTGTGACAGATCTGCCTCCGACTCGCTAGACGTGCCGAACAAATCTCTCATGGTACGTTGCGATATCTCGATACTGGTGTCAATCTGCGAGGCGGTAACGCTTTTATCAGAGGTTCTGTCATCCAGGGTATCCGCATCGTTGTCACTGTCACCTTCGACCAGAAGTCCAGACTCCAGAGCATATTCCACTACGGCGTCTTCTCCAATCAGCACCTTGGTACCATCAGGACTTGAATAACCCCACTCGGTCTGCAATCCACTGGGCTTCTTCGCTGTCCACCCAGCAGCACGAAGCTGGCGCCAGAAGTGACCAAAGTCGATATCACGCGCGGTGGCGGCGGCTGTAGCTGCTGCCGCGACTGTAGCTGCGGCCTTCCCTCGACGACTGGAACGAATGCGCGCCGTTCGGCGAAAGCTGGAATGAGCGGTTGACAAGCCACCGATTCAGATCAAAAAACTGATCCTCGTCCCCTACTTTTCCCGCGCACCCCGTTTCTGGGTTTTCATATAATACCTCCAGGACCTTATTTTTTCAAAATGACTTGATTAAAGTATTGGAAAAATAATTCTGAGCCAAATTCTGTTGTAATGCCTTTTACGTCGTAAGATACGACGTAAATTTTTTAATATGTCGTATCTTACGACGTTGGGAGTCGAGGGGTTAAAGAATCTAAAATCACGGACAGGGGCTCCTTCGCAGCTTACAGAGGAGGCCAGAGGTCTCGAATGGATGACACCGCGAGAGGTATTTAGTGTTGAACAGGATCCCCCCAGCCATCCCTGCTACCTGTCACAGGTTTCGAAGCTAAACTGACGCTAGTCGCCGGTGTCGGGTTGGGCAAGATAGGCTTTGGCGTCGTTGTCACCAATGCAGCCAGTGTCGGGCACGGTGTGGTAGGCTTCAGCGTGGTTGTCACACTAGCCGCTGGTGTCGAATTGGGCGATGGTGTCTTCGGAGTCGTTGTCACGCTCGATGCCGGCGTCGGGTTCG